ACATCAGTTCATTCATTTTCAAAAGCAAAGACAATATAACTTTGGTAAGTAACCATTCTAAAAAAAGTGAAAGGACTAGAAAGCAAAAGAAAAAAGGAAAAGGTCCTATATTCATCACCCGTCGCCTTGTAAGAGAATAGGAAAAAAGAAGAAAATCCAAACCTTTAATATCAAATGGCTCCTATGCTCTCAAGGACGTTCAAACAACTGAGGCTCCACATTTCACACTGGGAGCCTAAACTAGCCTTCCAATTAGATGATGAAGGAACTGAAGAGGCCTCCCCCACCCCAGCCTAGCAGCTGGCTTCTAGGCACTGGGTAGGAGTGGAGGAGTGTTAACAACTGATGGGGCTCCACAGCTAATTGTCTGGGCAATGTAGGGAATCCTCATCTAAGCATCAGGGGGTTGTTCAGGGCTGAGCACAGCAGTGGCTATAGAGGACAAAGAGGGTATACATGTTTGTATTCTGTATGACCTAGCATTTAAGTAAATGTCTGCAAAAACTCTAGGGGGAGGGGATGTTTAACCTGGCTTCCTGCTTCTCATCACAAGATTCCAGGCAAAGAACCTTCCAACCCCCTACTGATCTTCATTAAAGGATTTCCTGGATTGGTCTCTGCTAGACAGGACAGTAGAAAGCCCCAAATCAATCCCCTCACCCAGTTAATGACCATTCCCTTCTTGGGGGACTAGAAAAATATGGATTGGTTCAGGAAAATCCTCATGTTTTTACAGGTTCCTGTATTTTCATGGAACTGTCTTAAGAGCTCATCTGATTTCCAAGCAGGTAGGCAAGCTCAATTTTCCTCCCTTTGAGATGGATCATGTGAGTTGGAAAAAAGGGTAGTGAAGCCACTATCTTCATCCTACAAGGTGGGTAGTTAAGAGACTGTTACAAGTTCATAGAAAAGGGAAGTTCACATATGTTATTTACCATTACAGAGGCTTCTAATAAATAAAAATGACTATTATATAAACAAGAAGTGTAAATCCTCTAAAGTTCAATGCTCTTTTGTAACAATTAATAAACCAAGAAATAGAGGCACAAGCATTTTATCCAATGCTATGGTGATAACCTTCAAAAATAAACACTGAGATAATTAAGATGTTAACTCTAAAGGAGGAGTGGGAAGAATGGAAAGGGACTGTTGATTTCATCATAAACTCTTTTTTTTTTTTAAATTTATTTCAGAGAGAGAGACACAGAGAGAGAGGGAACACAAGCAGGGGGAGTGGGAGAGGGAGAAACAGGCTTCCCACTGAGCAGGGAGCCTGATGTGGGGCTCGATCCCAGGACTCTGGGATCATGACCTGAGCCGAAGGCAGACGCTTAACGACTGAGCTACCCAGGAGCCCCTTCATCATAAACTCTTAAGTACCACTGGATTTATTACCAAGTGCATGTTTGCCTTTGATAATAATTTTCTTTTAAAGATTTTATTTTTTTAAGTAATCTCTACACTCAACGTGGGCTTGAACTTACAAGTCAGAGATCAAGAGTTGTGTGCTCCACCAACTAAGCCAGCCAGGCGCCCCACCTTTGATAATA